AGAGAGAGAGAGAGAGAGAATCCATTAAACTACATGAAATACAACACAAATTGACCAGGTTTATTCAACTAAGACTTCTGTTACCAACCTGGGGAAGAAGATGCTTTCGACCACCACAAAGTCCTGCATGAGAACATCCCTTTCTGCCTTTTGGCTTAAGCTGCCAACTGTGTGAGTGATGCCCAACTGGATGGCACCTTTTAGGGCAGATGACGTGGTCTGGAGAGGTCAGAGAGGAAAAGATAGTAAGCACTGGAACAAACAGCATTTTACCCCAGTGACTTCTGCTGTTTCCCGTAACTATTCTTGGGTGTCTAGTGACAGGAATTCCCAAACTAATTTTAGAATATACACCAAACACCTTTTCCACTTTTCACCTCTGCTTCTCAGTGTTGTGGGTCTGAAAAAACCACCGGAGTCACTGATCCCCTCCTCACCCTGTTCTAACCTTTTTATAGGTGGTCTCTCCTGTGGTAGTCTCAACCCCCCGGTGTCCAATGGTCTTCTTCATACTCTGGGTTGTGCCTGAAGAGCCAGGCATCTGATAACAGGGGCAGAGATGGAAAAAAAACATTTAAATACGGCCTGGTGTGTGTTTGTGTGTGAGTTCATACACAGAAGACAAAGAGCTAGCTGTACGTAAGCTTTAGGCCATATTGGGTAAATATCTTTCACATGATAGCCATCAACTCGGCTGACAAGTTGCTGAACTCTCGGCGAGGGTAAACTTGGGTGGCAGAATGAAGGGAGTCAAAACAATTTCAGTTGGTGTGGCTTCATTTATGTCTGATCGATACCCTTACGCTTGCTTTAGTAAGTAACTGCAAATAAATAAGTACCAAATAAATGTACATTCAATTTGTGTGTCGGTATAATTAAACAAATACCCCAAACCTACAACAAATATTGTTATATTATTCTGTTGTCCTTTAGTTTTCTCATGGCATTATTTTTTTAAATTAAAAACAACTTGTTGCAGCTGTTGTATTCAATTATAAGCATTAGTGGTTTGTTTACTGGCCCTGGCACTGGGCTGTAAAAAAAAAACATGGGGCGGTCTCTTTACTTTGCATGAATGCAGGCTTGAGCTCTCCAAACCTGTTCTTCTTCCTCAGAGTTGACTGGATCAACATTTACATTACTTGGGGCTGTACATACCGCAGAGGTGCTTCTGTCAATTCAGTAAGATCATTTCCGACATCCTTACCTCTGCAGGGGCCATTTTTCGGATGCCACTGGTCCCTAAAGACAAAAAAACACGTCAAATTGGGATTCACAACACAAGAGAGACACGGACTCTTGAGAACCTGAAAGGAAAAAGATCCATGATACCCCGTGTAAATGTCAACAGTCATGCACGTAAATCTGATGCTGGAAATCATTTTAAAGACTTTACTTGGCAACTTTTAACATGGAAGAATTTGTTGATGACTGTTTAAGAAATCCTCCTCTGGTTAATTAGCCAGGCTATTTCCAGCACCGGCTGATGACTATAAAGCCAATGATGAGCCTAGACCTAAATGTGGCCATAGTTACTGACTGCTGCCCTTGATACACCAGCTCTATGTGAACTGGAACTACTTCTCCCCTGAGCTGGCTGCTCCAGATTCATCTGGCACCAGGGGATGTGTGTCTACATTCACCAACAAAAAAAAAAAAAAAA